TAGTTCATGGCCAGCACATTTTGGGCTGAGCCAGCTCCCATTTCTGGGAATCACTGTGAATATTAACAGAGGTGACTTCAATCTCTCCCTCCCTTCAGGAGGAGCAGAAAGGACAGATAATGATCAAAAGGGGGATTGTGGATGCACAGTCCCCCCCCCCGGGTCACTCTGAGAGTCCCCCAGTCCTTGATGCTCCCGGCAGGAGGCCCTTGGATGTGTCCCAGATGATGCTCCTTTAGTCCTTTCTGTGCATTAACAAGACAAATTTTGGGGGGAAAAAAAAAAAAAACCTCCCCCTCCAACACACAGAGTGCTCTGTGTTACCAGAAACGCCTTAATTTGGGTTTTGTTTGTGCCGAGGGATGGATGGAGGGTCAGCTCTGATGATAATTCAGGACGTGGGTGCTGGGATGAAGCTTAATTTGAGTTTAAATCTGGAAGACTCTTCTCCAGAGGACACAATCTGAACACTTTGAAACATCCTCAGGTCTCTCCAATCTACCTTTTTTTTTTTTTTGTTTTTTTTTGGTAATTCAGTCAGTAATTAGGCCGAGTGAAAAGCCATGTAAGAAACATTTGGGAAAGGATTTTTATTTTTTCCAAAGATTCAATATTCAGGCATTATAGACCTGAGTAAGTTCTAATTGTGTTTCTAGCTCTGCATTTAATAAATGGACCGTGGAGAGGTTAAAAAGAAAATAAAAATAAAAAGGGCTGTGAGCAGTGGGAGGAAAAAACAGGAAATGAGGCCATGAATCAAATGTGGTCCTGGAGGTGACAGTGGGGCTGGATACAAATCCAACAGTCAGATAAAAGGGTATCAACATAAATAATCACAGATTAATATGACATTATGTTAATATATTACACTTTAAAGCCCGTGGGTAAATCTGAGGGCCCTGACCTGCTTAATGTCACTCTCACCTTCTCTTTATTTTGTTCAGAAAAGGAGGGATAATTCCTCCTTGAACAGGGATGGCTCAGGAAACCAATCCAAGCAGCTTTGGCTGTCCCTGAATATCCCCGGGGAGCTGTGGCAAAACCCAGGCAGGTTCTGGCCTTGAACTAAAGACAATAAAACTCTGACTATGGAAAGTGAAATAACGACTAAAACATCAGTTCTGAGGTGAGGAGGATGGATGGAGAGCAGCCTTGAGGAGAAGGACTTGGGGGTGTTGGTGGGTGAGATCCTGGAGATGCCCCAGCCCAGACCCCCCCGTGCCCTGGGCTGATCCCACAGTGGGGGCTGCAGGGCAGGAGGGGATTCTGCCCCCTCAGGGGAGACCCCCCTGCAGAGGTGCCCCAGCCCTGGGAACAACATTCCTGAAGGACACAGAGCTGCTGGAGAGAGTCCAGAGGATCCCTCTGCTCTGGAGCCAGGCTGGGAGAGCTGGGAATGTTCCCCTGGAGAAGAGAAGGCTCCAGGGAGACCTGAGAGCCCCTTGCAGGGCCTAAAGGGGCTCCAGGAGAGCTGGAGAGGGACTGGGGACAAGGGATGGAGGGACAGGACACAGGGAATGGCTTCCCACTGTCATTTAGATGGGAGATTGGGAAGGAATTGCTGGCTGGGAGAGTGGGGAGGGGCTGGACTGGATTTCCCAGAGAAGCTGTGGCTGCCCCTGGATCCCTGGGAGTGTCCAAGGCCAGGCTGGAGCAACCTGGGCCAGTGGAAGGTGTTGGGGTTGGACCTGGATGATCTTTGATGTCCCTTCCAACCCCACCCTTCCAGGACTGTCTGTATGTCCTGAAGATCCGTGACTTCCTCGTGAAATCCCATTCCCAGCAGCAAGCAGGGACGACTAATTCCATATTTTGGGCATTCACAGACTTTGCTACGACGCTCAGTGCCGATAAGGAGAAACCTGGGACCTCTCCAAGCCCTTCCATGCTGAGACTCCCAATTTCACAGGAAGTTGTCCCTGGGCTCGTTAGGATTTATTTGGGAAGGTCTGGCCATGCCGTCCTTCGCCAATCTTTGAAGGGAAATTTGTGTCGGGAAAAACTGAGGGCTGAGTGGTGGAAGAGATGGTTTTACCAGCAGGGAATATGTTCAGACAAGGACCAGGCTGGGCAAGAGGATCGTGTTTTAGCAAAGGATCGGACAGTTACAGTGTGGGAATGGGAATGGGTGTGTGGAAAAGCACATGGCACCAGAAAAACTCAAGGATTTTAAACTAATAATAATATTGTTATTATTAATAACAAACAACTATGAAAATAATGATGATAATGATGATGATAATAATAATCATAATAATAATAACAACCACCGTCTAAGCCTTTTAGGGGGCAAAGGGGAGGCCCCCCTGGAATCCTGGGGGCAGTTCTGGGCCCTCAGCCAGGAGAGCCATGGAGGGGCTGGAGCGTGTGCAGGCAGGGAAGGGAGCTGGGAAGGGGCTGGAGAACTCCTGAGGGAGCTGGGGGGGCTCATCCTGGAGAAAAGGAGGCTCAGGGGGGACCTTCTGGCTCTGCAAGTCCCTGCCAGGAAGGGGGAGCCGGGGGGGGGTCGGGCTCTGCTCCCAGGGAACAGGGACAGGAGGAGAGGGAACAGCCTCCAGCTGTGCCAGGAGATGTTTAGACGGGATTTTGGGAAAACTCCTTCCTGGAAAGGGCTGTCCAGCTCTGGCACGGCTGTCCAGCTCTGGCACAACTGCCCAGGGCAGGGGTGAAGTCCCCATCCCTGGAGGGATTTAAACTCCCTGTGGATGTGGCACCTGGGGACACAATCCGTGGTGGCCCTGGCAGTGCTGGGAATGGTTGGACTCCGGGATCTTGGAGAGCTTTTCAACCTTCACCAATTCTCCGGTTCTGGGACTCAAAGCTCCTGCTTGTTTTCCAGATCCAGGATGACACACCTGAAGTTCCCCAGTCCCAGATGGATTTCCTGCTCACACAAGACCCAAGTGGGCTCAGATCTGTCAAGATCAGGAACAATGAACAGCTGGGTAATGCCTGAGGCGCTTTTATTTGTCATGCCTGTTTTATGTTGGTTTTTTTTTTTTTCCTTGGTGGAAACGTCCTCCCAGTATCCACTGAAGGGAATTGATCCAGTCAGTGCCGTCCCACATGGCCAAAACTCTTAAAAAAAAAGCACATTATTTGTGTGAACATATAAACTGTTTGCAGTTTTACACAGAACAGCTTCTCCTCCTTGCTTGCAAATTGCTCCTGAGAGTTGTGAGCTAGACTGGAGTAATTATTTTAATAAATGGTTTTTGGACTCCAAACTTTTCTTGTAGCCTTTCCTAACTTTAATTTCTAATACTTTTTGTTTCATTTAGCACCATCCTTGAGAGAGCTCTCAAACAGCTTTGACAGAGAGAAGCCCCTGACATATGGATGGCTTTGGCCTGCAGCGAAGAGCCTTTCATTTCCACGTATTAAAGGGGAGCCATAAATCCTGGGGTTCCTCAGCCCCACTCTTCCCACAGCCAGGGAACCTCCCAGGCACATCCAAACCACCCAGAGCCACTTGGAGACGGAATTCTGCCCATTCGTCCTGAAATCTTCTGGTGTTTCCATGTTCTGTAATTTCCAGTCACACAAAACAACCATAAAAAAAACCAGAACAACAAAACCAAACCCTGGCAGGAAACAGCTGCTGTTAAAACCTCCATTCCTAAATAGAAATCAGCAAGAGCAGGGGGTGTTTCCACTGAACTCTCCCAAATATACGAGAAGAGCTGCTTTCTGATTTGGGGTCTGGGCGTTTCCAGGGGTTCACTGAATAAATGCAGTTTGAGCCCTTAAAATAAATGCAGTTTGACCCCTAAAAATAAATACAGTTTGTCCCCTAAAAAATACTCCCAGTGGAGAAAAATAAGAAAACTCAAGCCCCTCAGTTTGGTGCTCAGTGTGAAGTCAGAGGGGTGTTGAATTCCCAACAAAGCCCCCTCATAGAAAGGGGTTTGACACCTGTGAAAATACAAAAGGCTTTCGCTCCTTGAGCCAAGACAAGAAGGGCTTGGAAAGGGGGGAAGAAAACCCAAAAATAAGGTTTCCCACAGATCACGGCTGTTATTATTTGTGTGTTGCCACAAAGTCCCAGCAGAAAATTTGGGGCTTCAGGGGGTAAAAGGAGGGACCAGATGAGAGTCAAAACAAGGTGTACTCAGGTGGGATAACCCGGGATCCACAGGGAGGGTTTTACCCTCAGAACAGCCACATCCAGGTGCTGGTTATCCTGCAGGGTGAAAGGAAAACGGATCAGGTGTTACTTTATGGCGTTATTAACCTCTTGAAGGAAATGATGTGGCCAAGGGGGATGTGCCAACGGGAATTTCATGGGGTGGAAAAGGGGATGAGGAGCCTGGGGCACTCATGCCACTCCACATCATGGAAACATTTAGGTTGGAAAAGACCTCCAAGATCAGAGAGTCCAACCATTCCCAGCACTGCCAAGGCCACCACTGATCACGTCCCCAAGTGCCACATCCACGGGGATTTGAAATCCCTCCAGGGATGGATGGGGTCTCCACCTCTGCCCTGGGCAGATGTGCCAGGGCTGGACAGCCCTTTCTAGGAAGGAGTTTTCCCAAAATCCAGTCTAAACATGCCCTGGCACAGCTGGAGGCCGTTCCCTCTCCTCCTGTCCCGGTTCCCTGGGAGCAGAGCTCGACCTCCTCCCCCGGCACCCCGCTCCTGTCAGGGACTTGCAGAGCCAGAAGGTCCCCCCTGAGCCTCCTTTTCTCCAGGATGAGCCCCCCCAGCTCCCTCAGCCGCTCCCAGGAGCGATCCCGACAGGCTGAGTGATGATTAGGACTACATTACCCAGCGTGCTCCGCGCGGGCGGACACGCCCACCATCACCCTCCGGCCGCGAAGCATCACGGGACTTGTAGTCCCCCTCCGCCTGCCAAGTTCTCCCTGACAAACTCCCCGCGCGGTTCCGGTCCCTGCCACCCCTCGGCCGGGGCGGCGCCGTTCCCATGGCAACGCGCGGCTCCAGCCAATGGGAAGCGCCGTTCTTCGCTTGGAGGCGCGCGGCCGGCCAATGGGCGGCGCCGTTGGTGCGGGGCGGCGCTGGCAGCGCGCTCGCGGAGTCTCCTTGGGGCCGTCCCCGCGGCGGGCCGAGATGGGCGGCGGCGGCAGCACCCGGCGGGTCACCTTCGAGGCGGACGAGAATGAGAATATCACTGTGGTCAAGGGCGTCAGGGTGAGCGCGGGACACGCTCCGAGTCATCCCCCGGGCCGGGCTGACCCGCCGCTTCCACCTCCCTCCTCCCCCGCCGTGTTGTCCTGTCCCTGTTCCTGCCCCTTTCTCTGCCTCTGTCTTTACCCCGTTCCTGTCTCGCTTCCCTCCCCTCTGCCCCGCTGATTTCTCCCCTCTCCGCTGTTCCAGCCGGGACAAGGAGCCCCCCGCGGGTGTTCCCTGCCCGTTTTGGGATCAGTGTGTGTGACTGCAAGAGCCGGGTTTGCCTTTCCGTGACCTCCACATGCCGGAGCTCCTCCCTTTCCCGTGTCCCTCTCCCTGACATTCCCCGTGTCCCACTTCCTGCGGAGCCGCTCCCTCTGTGTCCCGGGATGGTTTGGGTTGGAAGAAACTTCAGAATCATGGAATCACAGAATTAACCGGGTTGGAAGAGACATCTGAGATCATCCAGTCCAAGCCTTGATCCAACCCCGCTGGGATCACCAGATCAGGGCACTGATGCCACATCCAGCCTGTCCTTGAACACTTCCAGGGATGGAGAATCCACCCCCTCCCCTGGGCAGCCCATTCCAAGGCCTGAGCACTCTCTCTGTAAGGAATTCCTTCCTAATATCCAACCTAAACCTGAGACCAAGCCCTCTTGTCCTACTGAGGGCTGCCTGGACACCAGGAAAGGACTTGTGACACAGAGAACTTCAGGAATTCCTGCACCTTGGGAATTTCCCCAGGGCAGACAGCGTGAGGCTCACCCCGGGGGTGACAATAACTCCTCTTTTATTCCTGCTCTCAGGGAGGAGCAGAACGAGCCTTGACAGTTCATTCTGGCAAAGCACAGGGATGTTTTTAATTCCTGGCCATTTAATACTCTCAGGCAAGTAGGTGACAGTAATATCAGTGTAACATGTCTTTATATATTCCAGGCAGGTTTGTCTATCCCAGGTTGCCCAGAGAAGCTGTGGCTGCCCCTGGATCCCTGGGAGTGTCCAAGGCCAGGCTGGAGCAACCTGGGCCAGGGGAAGGTGTCCCTGGGGTTGCAACAGGATCATCTTCAAGGTCCCCTCCGACCCAAACCATCCTGTGATTCCATGAGTTGCAAACGAAGCTTTTATGTTATTAATTATTTTCCTTGTGTTCCTTTTATCCGTGGGCTTCCCACAGAGCTGAAACTGGGCCTTGCTCTGTTGGATTCTGCTTGATTTTGGGACACTCTTTCAATTAACTTGCTTGTTTGACCCCCCCCCTTGCTTGTGTTGCACCAATCCCTAGGGGGCTTTCCCGGGATTTGTTCCTCCTGGGACAAGCCCTGTGCACCTGCACCGTGGGATATTTGTGTCCAAATAACTGAGAAAGGCAAAAACTCTGGTTTAATGACAGGCACCGAGTCCCAGGGTGTTGTTCCCTTTCCTGCTCCCTGCATCCCAAATTTTCCACATCATTTTGGTCAGAGCCACCATCCTGCTGTCCAGCGCGGTTTTTGGGGCAAACGAGGGGAAAGAAAGTTTTTCCTGCACCAGGAATCAAATTTTACCACCTGTCAAGCCTTATATTGGCTTTCTGGGCTCTGATTTTTCTTCAATTTGGGTTCATTTTCCCGGGCAGTGGGATAACTGTGCCGTGGTGTTGTGTTTTCCAGCTCTCCGACAGCCTCATCGACCGGATGAAGGAACCCTCCTCGCCCTCTGGGAGATCCCCCCGCTCCTCAGGTGCAGCTTTGCTCCTGCTTTTGTGCTTTTTTATTTTTTTATTTCTAGTTTTTAAATGGGAGGAAGGGACAGTCAAACTGGCCCTTCAGAGCTTTGCGGTGACCTCGTTGCCCTTTTGGAGTGAGGAGTTTCTCGGCGTTAACTTTTTTGTTTTGTGTGGGTTTTTTACAGGAGTTTTAAGCTCCTCTTTGCTTTCTTCTGACGTTTCAAGTGTAAAACATCTGTTCATCAGACCTGGTTTTCCCACAGTATTATTGTTAAAAACTTGTTGAAAACACATTATTGTTAAAAACCCCACAGAACAAGCAAATACCTGAATAATTCCTGAGCTCTGGAGGGGAAATTCTCGCTTATTTAATCCACCCTGAGCCTTGTTCTGGTGAAGTTCTGTTGAAAACAGCAAACATTAAAAGGAAAATGTGCTGTTTTCCCGTGATGGAACGGTGGGAATGCAGTGATACACAGATGGGTGGCTCTCTTTAGTCCCTACATTTCATTTTTGAGGCCAGTTCTGATGCATCAGACAGAGCCTGTGCCAGGCGTAAAACCACAAACAGCTGCTGCAGGAGTGGGAGGGAAGGGCAGAGATTGCAGTTGGTGATTTGGGGACCCTGTCAAGACCAAGGAAGGCTCTTATCAGGGCTCCAGGAATATTCCTGAGAACAGAATTCCCTCAGGGAATTTTTTTGGTTTTTAGTGTTTTTAAATAGTACTTTTCTCTTCCAACCCAACCCATCCTGTGATTCTAAGAATTCCTTGAGCGTTTCCCACCTTGGAAAAACCAAGTGATTTTAGCTTTTTTTTTTTTTTTAATTTTCTGTTCCAGGCAAAGAGCACTTTACAAAAATAAATAAATAATAATAAAAAAAAAGATGTCTGGAGGGAGAAACATTAGAGCTTCTCAACCTTTCCTCAAGTGAAGTCTTTGATAGCTTTTGGGTGGTGAATTAGGGGGTTGTGTTACATGAGAGGACGTGCATTTTGGTGTTCACCAGCGATGAGGAATTTATTGGCTTCGCTTTGGGGGTCAGAAAATGAAATCACATCCACTTACACGGGCACCTGAGATCTAAATACAACATCTCAGAGCATCTGAGCTCTGCCTGCATCGCTTCCTTGGCTTCTGAGGGATATTAAATGCACTAAAATATTTAACAAGTGTAAAATCTTTCGAGCCTGCCTGTAATTCCTAAAGCAATATTGATGGAAAGTAATTTGGTCAGACAACAAGGGTGGTTCTTTTTTTTGGTGTATTATACCTAAATCTTCAGGCAGAGCAGGCAAAGGGGATGCCTTAATTCATTTTTGCTTAGTGGATATTGGAAAATCCACTAATGGTTTATTATGGAACAAAAAAAAAAAAAAAAAAAGAGGAAGAATAAATTCTTGAATTATCAGGAGTCTCAGCGCCTCAGACAAGGTTTTTTCCCCACCTTTGCAGAACCAGATGATGTCGAGGACACATTTTTTTTTCCCCCCTTTTTTTGTTTTTTGAACTGTAATTGTTACTGCTGTGTCCTCATGAGAACAAATCAGTCAAGGACCAGGACACAAATTTTAATTATTGTGGAGTAAAATGAGCTGGTGCCTCCTCGGGAATGGGGTTTTATACCTTTGCATTCGTCATGGTTTGAATTTTGGGGCTTGATTTTATTTTTTTTTTTTTTATTTTTTTTTTAAGGGGGGTTGTTTTCTGTCTTTGGGTGGAATTTCGGATTGTTGGGACGTCCAGGAACGAGGATTTGAAGAATTAGGCTGTGGCTGGAGAGACAACCAGGATTTAACTGAGCTTTGGGAGGGAGCAGGTTGGTGGGGTCACACGAGAGGCAGATTTGAGGGAGACACTCAGGGATGATGTGAGATCCTCGAGGACAAACCTCTTCCAGGTGGAAGAACCGATGCATTCCCACCCTTGGGAACATGGATGGATACACTTTGTTTTTAGGGAGATTTCTTTTTATTGCATATTTTTTTTTCTTTTTAAGAGTTGCAGCTTGTCCCAGTGATATCAATAATTACGGCTAGTCAGGTACTGCATGGAAAAAAAGAAGTAAAACTGGGATGGTTGATGTTGTTGGAGGCTCTGCAGCGTTGCCTGTGACTTTGAATTTTGTGTTTTTGGTTTCTGTGAGTGCCTGGAGGTTTACAGAGTTTGCCCAAATCTGTGCCAGTTAAGCAAGAACCCTCTGCAAACAAACCCCGCCGGTTCTTTGCCCTCTGAGGGAATTAATTGCTCGCCCACCTCGGGGTTGCAACAGCATTGTTTTGCTCTGTGTGAACTGGGAGATGAACTGACGTTTGTGGTTTTAATTTGTAGGATTCCCCTTGTTTTTTTTAGAAAAAGAAAAAAAAAAAAAATCAGGTTTAGCAATGCTGGGGTTGATCCCCTTTTGCTGGGAGACACCTGTAAAAAAGCTCAGGCTGGGGATTTACCCCCTTCCTTCGGGATCCAGGAGAGCTTGGGCTTTGCTTGTGGTGGGGTTTATTTGCTCTCCTCTGGGCACAGCTCTGGGTATCCTCAGAAAGGGTTTTACGCTTCAAACCCGGCATAAATCGGGGGGGGAATCCTCAGGCAGCACGCTGAGCTGGCACTGGGAGCCTGGAAGGCCATGATTTGCACAGAATAATAGTATAGAATAATAATATTATTAATAATAATAATAATAGTGCATTGCCACTTCACTGTCCCAGAGTTTCCCTGCAGATAACTTTTATTTGCAGTGATTTGTGTCGGTATTTTTTGGGGCTGCAGGTTTGCTATTGGTGGGAGGCATTTTAAACTAGAGGTGGAACAAGAATGAAAGGCAGAAGGTGTTGAAACTCCTCCTGCAAATATCAGTGTTTTTAACCTAAAATGTGGAGCTACAGCTGACCTCATCTCGTGCTCTCCTGTCTGACCACGTGTGGCGTGATCGTAATTTGGTGTAAAACCATCCAGAAACATCCCACAAGAACACCTTAAATATTTAACCCTAAATATATTTAAATATACTCCCCAAAAAATGACATTTGTGTTAATATTAGTCAGGAGTTTTGACACGATGGAATTTAAAGTTTGGTTAAAGAAGGTTTTTACAAGTGAGGGTGGGGAGGCCCTGGCCCGGGTTGCCAGATGATCTTCCAGGATTTAGCAGGAAAATCACGCTGGAAAAATAACTGTTTAAGGACTAATTATGGAATTATTGCCGTTGCCTTATGCCAGCTCTGAGCATGGAATTTATTTCACAGTTCAAGTTGATGGTTTGGTTGTTTCTGTGGAGTTTTGGAGCCATTTGCTCACTGGGAATCTCCCACGGGTGCTCCTGCAGGATTCTCTGGGCATCAGGATAAATTCCCTCCCGTTCCTCCTTTGTCCTTCAGAGACCTTCCTGGGATTAAAGCTCCAAAAAGACCAGATAGTGGCGAAGATAAAGGGCTTTGTCATTTAAGGGATTGTCGGAATAGAAATCATTTGGAGCAGGTTGAATGATATTTTTTTTTTTTTTTTTGGCGTTAATCTTAAGGAATGAAATCAAAAGTATCGATGTTTTTAAATGGATAAACCCACTGACCAAATTAAGGGCTGTTTGATTTCACCGGCGTCGGTCTTGATAACACCATAAAGGAAATTGTTATTCTGCTGTGTGGAATCCTCTCTGGTTTTAAGAGCACAATAGATGTTCTTATCCCAATTTATCTCGAAGTGGTAGAGGAGTTTAAATGCCTTTTTTTATTTTTTTTTTTTTCCCTTTATATTATTGAAAAACACCACTTATTCAACTCAACACAACTCGCAGACCTCCGAGTAATAAAACCTTTTTCTTCTCGTGGTAAATGCTACTTTTCTTCCCATCACCATTTATTTACCAGGCAGAGAATCTTCGGTGTGATGGAAAAGAACACTTTAAATGGGTGATTTATCACATTAAGATGAGAAGAGAAGCTTTGTTTTATTCTTTCATCTTCAGGCAGCAGCCAAGTGTTACTAAAGCTCTTCATCACTTGTCAGATGAGGCAGGTTAAGTGTATTTTTTTTTTTTTTTTTTTATTTTGGTGCTGCTTTAAGGCTTCGTGCTGGTTGTTCTGTAGTTAAAACAGCAGGTCCCACTCGGAAACTCCTTTTCCCTGGGGGAATGGGATGCACTTTTACCTCCTGCTCCCATTTTCAGGTGCTGCTCCAACCTGCTGGTTGAAATCTAAATTCCAAAAGGAGGGTGAGGACATTTGTTCCCTGTTTTTTGCAAGCTTTGCTGTGCCCCTCTGGCAATTCTTCAGGGAGCTGCTTTACCTGATTCTCATTTTTAGCCTCATTAATCATGTTTGATTTCACCTCTTGTTAATCCCCTAAAAACCAAGGATCTATCCCAAGCTGTTCTTTCAGGCTGGGGATGTGAGATGGAGGTCCTGGTTCTCCTTAATCTCTGGAATTTTACCCTGAAGGACTCGAGTGGTTCATCCAAGATGTTTGATTATTTTTCCCCCCCCTTTATGATTTTCTGTATTTCTTGGGGGTTTCTTTTTGTGAGGAATCATCTCATCCTGAGAGAAAGGACTCAACTTATCCCTGATGCCACTAATGGACATTTCTCAGCCAGGGGGGGAGATGGTATTATTCAATTTAAGGAGGAAAAAGAAATATCAGCAGGAATTGGTAGGAAGAATCAGTAAAGGCAGCGCTTGGAGAGTGACTTTGGTGCTCATCCGAAACCTCAGGATTTGGGATTTTTGGAATTGTGTTTCTGTGCCTGCCTGTTGGGCTCACTGGCTGTTTTCATTCAGGAGAAAAGAGATTGTTTTACACAAGGAAAAAAGTGAATTTCTCCTGTATTTCTGAGCTAACTGGGAGCATCTTTGCTGACAGATTTTCATATTTCACCTCTTACCCACTGGAACAGCCTCTTTTTTTTTTTCCCCCCTTTCACTTTTAATTCAGTTCCTGAATCCACTTTCTGGTGTTGGAGGTGCTTTTCCAATTGCTGGCTCGTGCTGGATTAGCCTACTCCAGGAATAACCTTCCTGGAG